GGCAGGAGAGACTTTGTTAATATACAGAAAAGCAATATCCACAGCACTCCCTCTATACTAGTTCATTGATTCTGTCAAAATAGAAATTATATTAGTCTGATGTCAGCTACTCTGTATGAAGCCATACAGAATCTTTGTAATCACTGCTTCCTTTCCAGGAATGACTCAAAATCCAGTGCTCTTCACAGTGCATAACACTTCCATTGAAAGAATTAACACTGCCACCATCACTTCCATTTCTCTCTGTAACTATAGGATTGGGGAGTAGGGGTGAAAACTGGATGTTTTGATGCTGATTTGAAGGATCAGAGGAGATGTGACTTCTCTCTAGACTTTGTAAATTTTAACTTTGGGGCTCAATGTTAGAGACAGAGTAGAGAGAATGGAAAAATATGGGGAATACACAGTTTCTCTCTATTTTTTTACTAGCACTTGTCATCCCTACTGAGACACAATAAATATCTACAATAATAAGTAGTTAACCATATTTGCCAGTGACAGGATAAAAAAAAAAACAGAGGCAATCATCAAACATTTATTAAGGAACTCTTATACGCCAAAATTTCTTTTTTAAGTAGGGGAGATACAGAGACAAAAATGAAATCATTTCTGCCCTCAAGCATCTCATCTTACATTTTAATGATGTAGACAGTATCTATATATGCTAAATAGCAGTGTGATGAATGTGGGCACGAGTATCAAAGGGGATCAAAAAAGGCTTTATATAGAAGCTAACATTTTCACTTGGTCTTGAAGGAAACTGGGGATTCCAAGAAATGAAGGTTAGGAGTAGTACATTCCCGTCAAGGGGGAAAAGAAATGTAAATGCAGAGTTAGGAGACAAGGTGTTTTGTGTATGGAACAGCAATACGATATAGTGAGTATTTTGTAAAAACACAAAAGTGGTAGAAAGGTAGTTGTAAAAGGCTTCAAATGATGGATAGAAGAGCTTACATTTCACCCATTTTTCTTCTATTTTTTTTCAATTAATGAAAATCTATCCTATAAGAACCCTTGTTATACATATGTATATTTAAGCAAAACAAATTCTTTCATGAACCATGTCCCATGAGCTTTGAAGTTTTGCCATAAATGGAAATTTCAGCTAAAATTATTTGGTTAAATCAAGTATTCCTGTACATGCCTTCAAGGAAATCTACTTTAACTAGGGGTTATTTATTTGAACGTGACCAGAAGTTGAAATTTTTTTATTGATATGTACTGTTTTAAAATTGATCACTCAATGTATGATGCATGTATTAGAGTCCATCTTTTTATGAACAGCATTCTGTTATTAATTTCTTAATGGAATCTTATCCTCCTGATGGTGGAATGAAAGTCAAGTTGTGAAGTATGAAAACTGTGTTCTAATTTTCCTTTTTTTATTTGAGTTTTTCAACATGTCACTTGGTCAACGTTCCAATTTTGATTTTATAATATTACAGATAAAGGTGAGTTAACTTGCATACTTTGACCTGGTTATTAGCAAGATCATTTAAAATTGTATTAGGATCAATTTTGTAGGAAACTTTTAACAAAGAAAGAGGAGTTCTCTCCACAAGATGTTTTAAGATGACAGTCTGCTGGAGATCACTTGGCAATACTCCAACCAGGAAACTTCATCAGATGATGTCCTGAACACAAGACAGCTGTACAAGAAGACACTTCTGAATCCTTAAATGGACAATTTATTTTTATTTTTTCCCTGGGGTCTCTGCATCTGTATTACTAAGGGGTACTTACCCTTTTAAATTGAAAATGCTGTTCTCTTTCCCCTGTCCCCTATTGTCATAAGTCCCCAAAACCCCTTGATGAAGTGTTGACCATATCAGTTAGTGATTCATTGAGAAGGATACACGTCTCATTAGAACCAGATGGGGGAATGTGAGAAATGCTTTTTCTAGCTAATCATTATCTTGGAAACTCAGAGCTTCCCTATTCCCTTTTCTTTCAAAGTTCAGTCCTCCTTCAAAAGGACATTAAGATGTAATGTAAATGGGTCTATTCCTGCTCATTATGTTGCCTAGACAAGTCTCGAAAAATGCTGATTCCTCCCTTTATACTATAGGATATACACTAGTGCAAATGCACTCAAACATTCTCTAATAAAGATCATGAATTCTTTTATGTTTAAAAGGAAAGGTAGCATAGGAAAATTCTTCACAGTAAACATATCCTTGTGTTATAAAAGGAAATAAAAAAAACACCAACAAATGAGATGTTATGGTATGTACTGTGTCACTCTCATTGGCACACTCCAAAAGACTCAAAGGAACCAGAATTATTGGTTTTCCTCCTTCTGTCAGTATCCCCATGCAAAAAACACCCTTCTCTTTTTATTACTGCTCTCCTTTTTCACTCTTAGGAGACACCCTGTTTTCCAGAGCTAAGGACCAACAAGAAAGCTCTGTCTTGAGACTTCCATAACAAAAGTCCTTTGTGCTCACCCTCTGGATGAACTCTGCTGCAACTAAATCGCAGAACTGACAATTCGTAAGTTCAGGCAAGCACCAACAGGCCCAGGCATGAAGCCCTGCTAAGAATGGACTTTTTGTCACTAGGCAACCTTGCCTCTCTACTGTTGCTGACCGCATTGTTTGATTCTTTGTCTAGCCACAACTACATATATCAAGGTTTAGCATCACTTCCTTGGATCTCCTCCTAGAGGAAACCTCGGCTCATGAGGCTAGTTTCCATCCTCCAGTAGAATATAGAAAGCTTTTTGCTTATGACCACTGGTTTTGCTTTTATTTCATTTTATTTTTCAGAGTTAACTGTGCTTGTAATCACCTGAGTGAGCTCTTTAGCATTTTTATAATTAACAGCAGTTGCGAAACCTTTATAATTCTTCAGTCATTTGTTTTCAGAGTTGAGACTTCATACCAGAGCAAAAATACAGATAATAACAATAATAATTAACATTTATATAAAACTTACTCTGTACCAATCACTATGCTAAGTAATTTACAATTATTTCATTTAATCCTCACAACAAACCTGGAAGGTAGGTGCTGTTATTATCCCTGTTATACAGATGAGGCAACTGAGGTAAATGACAGATAAATGACTTGTCAAAGATAGTAAGCTAAATGACTGTTAACAGGTAGTAAGTGACTGAGCCAGCATTTGAATTCAGGTCTTCATAACTGCAGGCTGAGCACTCTATCCACTGGGTACCGAGTTGCCTCAGATTCATTTTGAAACCTTGAGGTTTTGAAGACAGAATTTGAAAATTAAGGACATTTTGAACCAATTATATGCTAGAAAATGTTTAATAAGCATCCTTCTGCCCCCAAAAAATTATGCACTTAGAAAACTTTTAAATTTAATGTGCATTACTAATATTTTTTGCATTACTTTCTTTAGGCCAGAAAATCAACAGCAAAATAAATACAAACTGAGGCCATTCTCTGCTAACTCCCTCTTCTCCTCTCTCTTTCATTTCATATCACTAATATGCCATCAACAATTATCTCCTTTATTCCTGTCTTATGTGATGAGGTCACTTTTTTCTCAGTCCTCATTCTCTTTGACCTCTCTGTTGCTTTGACATGAGCACTCTTTTCTCCTTGTTACTTTCTTCTTACTAGGTTTATGGGATACCACACTCTTGGTTCTTAACCTGTTTATCTCAGTTTTCTTCTCCTCTTCCCCTCCCATCATCCAGATCATGTCCTCTCATCACGGGAGTTCCATGGGGTTCTGCCCTATGCTCTCTTCTTTTCTTTGTCCATAATATGTTATTTGGTTATCTCATAAATTCTCACCGATTTAACTATTGTTCAGCTATTCAGTCATATCCAACTCTTCATGCTTCACTGGCATAGCACACCAGATCCTTGTCTGCTATCTTTCAAACTTTCTCCAAGTTGTTTCTCATTGTTTACATGACAATATCTACTCATCTCATTCTCTGTCATCCCCTATTCCATTTGCTCTCAGTCTTTCCCAAGATCAAAATCTTTTCCAATAAATACCATGTACTCATCATGTGGCCAAAGTTTTTAAGCCTCAGTTTTTGTATTTGACCTTATAAAGAAAAAGCCTGAGCTAATATCTTTAAATATTGATTGATTTGGCCTCCTTCCTATTCAAGGGACTCTCAAAAGTGCATGAGACTGCATGAAACATGAAGAAAAAATAAAACAAAACCAAAAGAGTAAAAAAATAGGAGAAAATGTGAAATAGTTAATCAGAAAAGCAACTGACCTGGAAAAGAGATTGAGGAGAGATAATTTAAGAATTATTGTACTACCTAAAATCCATGATTAAAGAAAAATATAAAGGGATACAATATTGATATTATGTGAGGTCTGATTGAAAAGAAACTTCAGATTCCCTCCAATTAAAGCATCATGATCTTCTCTTATGTTTATGATTATACATGGGATATATATAACTATACATACACACACATGTAGATCTGCATACATACATATTGGGAGGGGTCATCTATATAACATAGATATGTCAGTGTATAAACACATATACGTATGTATTGAATGTGCATACAGGTAGGTATGTTTTTCACATGCACATGTATGAAAATGCTATGGGATACATAATAAATGTTCAGTAATACCTGACCTGCATCATGTTTCACAACTACAAAGACACTATGGACGACACATGTAAGCCATTAAAGGGATACATCTTCCCTCTATACCTGCAAGCAACAGAAATAGGAAAGATTCTCAGGAGCACAAAGGAAATTAGATAGATAGATAGATAGATAGATAGATAGATAGATAGATAGATACATAGACAGATAGATAGATAGAAAGGGAGAGATATTCACTGTGAATTAGGAAGAATCCACAGACCTTGAAGACTTTGTCAGCCTGATTCTTCAAATTTTTCAGCCTCATGCTTCACCGGTTATTCTAAGTGTACTCCGTGTTCTTGAGTTCTCTCTCTAAGTCACTCTCCATGTGGCCTGTCTGAATGAGGAGTTTTATGTGTGCTCTCCTACTCCTTTTTCTCACTGTGTCTCTTACACACTAATACATGGCTGTGTCCTCAGCTTTAAGGGAATTCACTTGCAGTTGCAGCACATCGTTGCTGTAGTTTAGGGAGATGGTTAATCTGCCTTTCACAGAGTCTGGATAGAATGTTTTTCCTACGTTACTATAAATAGATGCGTGCCACTCGAGACCTTTCCCTGGAGCCTGCAGAACCCAGCTAATGTAATAGATGCTGAAGGTGAATCCAGAAGCTTTGGAGGAAAGGCTAAGAGATCCTCCAGGCTGCCTCACATCACCCCCAGACTCTACCAGCTGAACATCACAATGGACACCTGCAAATAAAGAGTCCTTTAAGACAATAGTCACACAAAGAAACCACTTGAAAGAGTGTATCCTTCGTCAAAAAACAAAATACAAAACTACCTCGTAAAAGAGTCAGGAGGAAAATTTCATTCCGTCCAAAACTCATTGTTTGGGCCCCACAGTGTCAGTTCTTAGGAGAGAAAGGCCACACAGAAGAAAAGCTCCTCTCCCAGAGCTGCAGACACAGGTTTTTGCTGCTTTTCATCCCTAGAGGGAGAAGCCCAATTTGCATGTCTTCCTCTTTAGTGTGAGGAAGAGTAACTACCTCCCAGTGGGATGAGTCCCCTCCCTGAGCTGCAGCAAGGTTTCTCTCAAAATTAGTTCTAAAACCATGGGGAAGATTAGTGACACTGAGAATCCAAATATCATTGATAGGCACTCAGTGTCTATCCTTCTCCATCACTCCAATCTTCCTTCAATACCAAGAGATTGTTCATTAGGCTTTTCTATGTTGCTGTTATTTTCCCAGCTTCTCTCAATGCCATTTCTAATTAGGAAAGCACTCTAAGCATTTTGTCATTTTTTATCTTCACCAGATGTTGGATCTACCTTAAGATGCTTATTGTGGAATTTCTGAGCTTACTCTTGCCACTTACGCATGCTGACAGAGCTACTTTTTGTTCATTCTCTTTGTAATTAGATTCTATGTGCACTATATACCACCAAACCCATTCAAGGTCCCTTATATCCAGGTTATGCTTTGTTGGCATGAGAGGGGTCATTGTGAAGTTTTCAACTGAGCACTTATACTTCAGAAATCAGCAGACACTCAAAATCAGGGATTGTCTTTAATTGATTTTTTGCATTGTTTAGACAACAATAGGATAGAGAAAATGGGCATAATAATGGCACCTTTAGCATAGGATTATCATTAGGATAAAAAGAGACATTTGTAAAAAGCAGTTAGTACAATTCTGGGACTATAATAGGTACTGTATGGATGCCTTCTATGTTCTCCCCTCTCCCTGTCTTCCCTTGTCCTTTTGTCGTAAGCATAAACATAAAGACTAATCAGGGACAAACTTATTACATTTAAATATGGGGAGGTTGTGTCCCTATGGAGGAAGTCTAATTAAAAGAAGGTGAGAGTGGTTCTGTTATGTCGTAATGATCAGCAGACTCGGTTGCTCTGGGATGGAGGTCTCTGCAATCTGAGGCTCAGGTTACACCTTTCCCCAGATACTATAGAAGATATACATTTTCCCCAGGGGATGTGGTGTCACTGTGTCACCACATGCAATGAGTCTTGAGAAACAAAACATGGGACTTTTTGGAGTATCCTGGAGACTCAGGGGGCTTTCTCATGCCTGACCATTTTGTGCCTTAATTCCTCCAGCTCAGAGGGATGTGAGCTTGGGTGTGCTGGTAAGGTTTTTAACACCAGCTCTCCAGGGGAGAAAAATGAATGCACTGTGAACTTTTAAGTTTAATCTACATTAAACTTTGTTCATATAAATAGTTACTTGCACACCTTAATTGTGACATGGTTTTCTCTAATCTTTCTTTTCCTTTCTCCCTTGGGTGAATATTCTTCTTTCTCTCTCCATTCTTCTCGGGATCATTACGACATAACAGAACCACTCTCACCTTCTTTTAATTAGACTTCTTCCATAGGGACACAACCTCCCCATATTTAAATGTAATAAGTTTGTCCCTGATTAGTCTTTATGTTTATGCTTACGACAAAAGGACAAGGGAAGACAGGGAGAGGGGAAAACATAGAAGGCATCCATACAGTACCTATTATAGTCCCAGAATTGTACTAACTGCTTTTTACAAATGTCTCTTTTAATCCTAATGATAATCCTATGCTAAAGGTGCCATTATTATGCCCATTTTATAGTTAGGTAAACCAAGGCAAAATAAAATGAACTGATTCACCCCAGAGTTACAAAGCTGATATCTGTGGCCAGTTTTGAATTCAGATTTTCCTTATTCCGGGCCCAAAGTTTTATCCATTGTGCCACCGGCTGTCTGTAGGAGATGGTTTCAGAGAAACAAGATTTTTCATTCCTGTTTGCATTTTTCTTTCTCTTAACTCCTGTATTTCACCTTCAATGTTTCTTCAGGACTCTGTTCTTTTCATCAGGAATTCTTTATAATCCTCTATGTAATTGAAGATTCATATTTTTTCCATTTAGTGTTTTATTCAGTTTTGATGAGTAAGGTGTTGTTGGCTGTAAACTTTTAGGAAGAGTTTATTTCAAGCTTTCTACTTCTTTATAGTGGTGGCTGTTAAGTTATTTGTGATTCTGACTTGCACTCCTCAGTACTTGAATTCTTTCTGGTTACCTGTACGACTTTTTTCCCCCTTACCTACCTGGAAGCTGTGGATTTTGACTATAATATTCCTGGAAGTTTGAATTTGGTGTTTTCTTTGAAGAGATGACCACCGTATTTTTTCTAATTCTATTTTGCCCTCTGGTTCTTTTTTATCATATGGATTTCTTTTTTTAAAATTTCTTTTATTTTTTTTCTTCCCTCTCCACCCTAGAGATAGCTATCATTGGACACAAATAAGTATACATATGTAAAATTATTCTATACATCAATTCTTTCTCTAGATGCAGATGGCATCTTTCTACACATGTCCTTTGTAGTTATTTTGGGTATTTATGATAGACAAAATAACTTAATTGCTCAAAGTTGTTCTTCAGACAATATTGGTGGAGGGGCACCTAGGTGGCTCAGTGGATAGAGCACAGGTCTTGAAGTCATGAGGACCTGAGTTCAAATCTGGCCTCAGACCAAACACTTGACACTTGCTAGCTGTGTGACCCTGGGCAAGTCACTTAACTCCAATTGCCAAAAAACAAAACAAACAAAAGAGATATTGCCTTAGACAAAACACTTGACAATTGCAATTTCCAGGTTTTGCGACCACAAAGAGAGCTGCTGTAAACGTTTGAGATGCATAGATTCTGTTCCTTTTCCCTAATTATCTTCAGAAATAGACCAAGCAGAGTTATTACTGGCTCCAAGGATATAGGTAGTTTAATAACTCTTTGGGCATAAATCCAGATTGCTCCCCAGAATGGATGTATCATTTAGCAATTCCACCAAGAATGAGTTAGTGGCCCAATTTTTCTATATCCCCGCCAATATTTGTTGCTTTCCCCTTCTATTACTTTAGCCAGTTTGGTGGGTGTAAAATGATCTCGCAAGATAGTTTTAATTTATATTTCTCTAATCAAAGGTTATTAGAGCATTTTTATAAGATTATAAGCTGTTTTGATTTCTTCATCAGAAAATTGTCTCTTCATATTCTTTCACCATCTAACAAGTAAGAAATGGCTGATATTCTTATATATTGGGAAAAGTTCTTTATGTATTTTAAATGTGAGACCTTTATAATGTAAACTGTCTATAAAATATTTTTCTAATTTTCTATTTTCCTTCTGATCTTGGCTACATTTGTTTTATTTGTAAAAATACTTTTTAATTTCATGTATTTAAAGTGAATACTTTTCTTTATGTTAAATCAATTTAGTGTAATGTAAAAACTAACATTTTTCATTTCATGTAAAGTGAAATGATTAATTTTATACCAAACTTTGCTCTCTATCTTTATTTTATTCACAAGTTATTCACTTATCAATAAGTCTGATAATAATGTGTTCCATGTCCTTCTAATTTTCTCATAAAAGCAATTTTTGTATCTAGGTATATATCCATTTTGACCTTATTTTGGTAAATGGTGTAAGATATTATCTATGCCCAGTTTCTGCCATTCTGTTTTCTACTTTTCTCAAAATTTTTCCCAAAATCTTATCCCCAAATTTTAAGACTTCCTACTTGTCCAATACAAAGTTATTGTGCTTATTTGCTGCTGTAAAGTAGATGTTTATTCAATTCTATGGATCTGCTTTGCCTTTCTTGGCCAGCACCAGATATTTTGATAATTGCTGCCTTATATTATAGTTTAAGATCTGGCGCTGCTAAATCTCTTTCCTTTAAATGATTTTCCATTATTACCATCGATATTCTTGACTTTTTCTTTTTCCAAATCCACTTATTATTTTTTTTAATTCAGTAAGAATAATTTTGGCAACTTAATTTGAATGGCATTGAATATGTAAATTAGTTTGGGTAAAATTGTCATTTTTACCATATTGGCCCTGCCTTGCCATGAACAATTAATATTTTTCAAATTATTTCAATCATATTTTATTTGTCTAAAAAGTTCTTATAATTTTGTTTGTATAGCTCATGAGTCTGTTTTGATAGCTGTACACTTAGGTATTTTATACTGTCTAGAGTTATTTTAAATTGGTTATTTTTACTATCTCTTCCTTCATGGTTTTATTTGTTACATAGAAGAGGGCTGATGATTTCTATGGATTAACTTTATATCCTCCTAATTTGCTAAAATTATTCATTGTTTCAACTAACTTTTTAGTTGAGTCTTTGCAATTTTCCAAGTATAACATCACACCTTCTGCAAAAAAGAAATAACTTTATTACCTCAGTACCTATTCTGATTTCTGCAATTTCTTTTTCTCTCATTACTATTGCTAACATTTCCAATACAATCTTGAATATTTTTGATTACAATGGGCAGTCTTGTTTCAAGACCGATCTTACTAGCAAGGGTTCTACTTTATCCCTCTTACAGATAATGCGTACTGATAGTCTTAGATGAATGCTATCTATCAATTTAAGGAAAAAATCAATTTATACTGATACTTTCAAGTGTTTTTAATAAAAATGGGTATTAAACTTTATCAAAGACTTTTCTGCATCTATTGATACAATCATGATTTTTTTACTTTTATTATTGATACACTCTATTATGCTAATAGTGTTCCTTATGTTAAAAAATATCCTTGAATTCCTGGTATAAATTCAACTTCGTCATAACGTATAATCTTTATAATATATTATTGCGATCTTTTAGCTAGTGTTTTATTTAGGATTATCGCATCCATATTCATTGATGAAATTTGTCTTTAATTATGTTTCTCTCTTTTTACTCTTCTGGGTTTAGGTATCAATATCATATTTGTTTTATAAAAAGAATTTGGTAAGATCTTTACATATTATTCTAAATAATTGATTTAATATTGGAATTAGTTGATCTTTAAAGATTTGATAGTATTCACTTGT